CACACACACACACACACACACACACACCACAAAAAGCATTTATTTATGCACTTCATTCTCATAAAGTTGAATCAGTATGCACGGTATTGAATTGCATTCAAGCACACAGCAAGGTGAACACGTGCCCTCATTCAAATGTCAAAAGGCTGAACAGTCTGAAACATTTCCAGGAAAGGAAAATGATTAAAAGACGGGAACCTGCTAACGTAATATTGGAGCATATTGCAAGACGTTGTATCCTAATAGACTACAGTGTATATATACCCTGCATGCACTACAGGTGTGAGCAGTGTGACAGATGGCGTTGCAAGACATTTCTATGTCACGATTCAAAGAACCATGAATTCCTGCAGCATTCAGGAATTGTAACCACTTTCCCGATTAGCTCTCTACACCACAAAGATTAACATGTCAGCTTTTGGATCAAAGTGTTTTTTTTTGCATGTGTCATTTTGTGCATGGGTGCAGACACATTGAGAGTACTCACCGTGTACTCTGACCATATTCCCAGCAGAGGCCATCAGTGTAATGGGCAGAAATGGGAGGAGTGTGATGAGGGTGCAGACAGGTGGAAGAGAACAGAGGAATGAAACAGTATGAGAGAGATAAGAAAAAAACAATTTAGTTCAAAATGGACAAAGGACCATTAAGCCTCAGCAATAGCACTTCAGTCTCAGCGATAGTGTTTATGAAACAGTCTCATAAAAGTATTATGGACATACTGCACACACAGGAGCGCTGCACTTCCCTGTGCAGCTGCTACCATGTTGTTTTGCATGCTGCAGTGCTTCCAGTTAGTGAAAGTTCAACATAACCACAAGGCAATGTGATTTCCACAGGCTGATGATAGTGTATTACCTGTCAGTATTTTTTGTTAAGCTTGTGTTCATGTTTAGCCTTCCGTTTGACCATTGATCTTTCAGTTAAACCTGCCTGTCCTCTCTCCATCACTTCCACTCTCCCAAATGACCTCCGTCTCCCCTCCTTCCCTGCCCTCTGCTCATTGTGGATTCTGAATATTATAGAATATTGCTTCTATATCTCTTTGCCCTCCAAATGATCCCATATAATGGCTGCCAGCAGGTGAACGGAGCCATGATTGTAGAGGGCTGCAGAAAATGGAAATGTATTTGTGTGTAAATTGTTGAAGAGATCTTTCTTTAAAGAGACAGGGTTTTTTAAACCAATGCTAATATTTGTGTATAATATAGTGTCCTTTAGGTAATAATGGTGGGACAAATTTAGCACATTTGAGATAATTGTTGCACAAGGATGTGTAGTTAAAGCTTTACCTGTGACAGTGTAGGGGTAATAGTTCCAAGCCTTCTCTGTGACATAGAAGATTTTAGGGACCACTGCTCTGGCCCAGCTGGGCAGCTTGCTGAAACACAGAGAAAGAGCGGGTGTATTTGTAAACTGTAAACTTAAAAAGTTAGAGGACTGATGGTACAAACAACTTGCTGTACAGTAAAAGTAGCCCTCTCTGAAGGTGTCTCCACTCTATTCCTTTCACCCAGAAAAAGCAATGACAAGCATCCAGCTGTTTGGAGCCACGGAGGCCATACAAAGCAGCCAGGATGGCCCCTGGGGAAGTTAATTACACTGATTAGACGCTCCACCCTGCAGTGGAGTTTCACCGGAGCCCGACCTGTGATAGATAGAGAGAGGGACATGGAGGGCGGAAAGTACACAAAACTAGCTATTACTCAGCCCAAATTGATTCTAAGTGCGGACAATTGCAGCCGAGTAGACGGCACTTTATTGGGCGTCCAAGCAAAATGCAAACGATTGCTGAGGAAGAGAAACAACAGGGGCCAAACATTGCTAAGCTGGAGGGAACATTTTGAAAGAAATGCACGATTTCACAGGTGAAAAGACCAGATTTCTGGGACAGCGATACCTTTAACAATTGAACAGTACGTCCAGAGTAGCAAGAATGAAAATTGAGTGCAGCCTGTCTCATTATTGGGTCCAATCAGAAACATCACTGCACTCCAAATCACAGTTGGTTCAGATTGCTGCTGATTTTCAGCCAATCAAGCGAGGTAAATAGCACCATGATTGGACACAACGCCAAAATTCAGCTATACTAAATTCCACTTTCAGGATAATTCTCTTTTACACCAGCCTTTGATTATTTTTGCTCCTACATTATCACCCTCGTCCTTATTTTGTGTCTAGCAGCTATAATTGAATGTGGAAATTATACGGAGTCCGTACGGACCATCGGGAGGAGACGGACGCTTCCCTCTGGTCTCTCTCCAATGGACTGTCAAACAGCCAGGGGAGTGTGCAGACACACCAGACTGGTCACATGTCCTCACACTGCCTTAACTACAAGCCACACACATACACACACACACACACGCGCATAGACTGCAGCTATATCGTGGTAACAGGTGGTCTGTGGGTGGAGAGAGGCAGGCGCGGCGTCCAACAGTGACTGCTCAAATTATCCATCACTTAAACTGACCTTATCTCCCTCTGCCCACGCACGCGCGCCCGCGCACACACACACACACACACACACACACACACACACACACACACACACACACACACACACACACACACACACACGACACTAAATCTTCCCGTCCTCTGAGTTTGTCAATGACACTTCACATTTCCCAAAGGCCCACTTACTTGTCACTCCTGACCACGAAACCTTCCCCTCTCTGCCTCTCACGTTGGATCTCTCCATGTGGCTCTCTTTTCATCTCTGTCTCATTGTCTTACTTTTGGGAATGAGTGACCCAGTTGTCTGTGACAACAGTATTTGATTCTGATGAATGTGGACTTACTCTTACCTGTCATTACATCTTTGTAGACCTTTATAACATTATAAAACTATATATGAATGCCGTGAACGGGGCAAGAGCACTGAAGGGCCCATTAACAGTGCGATAGTCCTGTTAACACACCACCAGGCATGATCTCAGCTATAAATACTCCCGACAATGTCACCAAAAACGGCGCAGCTTCGTAAAGATAGACGCTATGGCAGCACTGTATCAGACTGTAGGTGTACCTGATTCAAGAGCTTTAACATTCTTCCATCCATTCTGTTTGTTTATCTCTCATCCTTCGCAATCGTTATGGATCCAATAAGGGAAATCACTGAAGTACTGAACCAGACTTTCACCTATACTCGTCTCATCAGTGTACTCAACAAAAAGTCCAACTCTCCTTTATATTCTGTCCACACTTATTTGTTTACTGCTGTAATGCTGCACAGCAACATTGATGCAGGTGTGTGATGAGGGGTTACATTCAGAGCAAATTCACAAATGAGAATGAGGAGACCACACTTCAGACGACACACAGAGAATTCAACCGCAATCTACATAAAAGAAAATGAAATAATCAGTTTCACGCTCTAAAAAAAACCTAACCAGATTGTCCCCTCTGCTTTTTGCCTGAAACACAACAGTAATTTCATAGTAGCCTTATGATACCTACAATTTGCTGTTGATGAAATAATCATGTCCTATATGTGACGACACATACTCAGCTATTTATTTGAATAAGACAAATGTTGACATGAACACATCGTAACATATCTATGGATTGCAAATCTATGTCTGCAAGGACTCTCCTGATATCTTCATCAGCAGCTGCCTAACGAACGCTGACCTGTGATAGAATACTGAGGATCATTAGTGTGAAATAAAATATTTTTTATTCATATTGAACATACGTTACATGGCAAGAGGAAGACACTCACTTGTTGAGGTAGATTCGTTTCTCGGTGAACTGGCCCGATCCGTGCTCTGGGTCCTCGTACGGCTCGTTCTGGACCACCTCCACCCCCTCCCCACGCTCACTTTGTTCATGACTGTGTTTACTGATCATATACAGCTGGCCAATCCGGTACTGAAAGACAGACAGGAGACAAACAAACAGAGGAACCTTGATGTTAGATCAATTGTTTTATTGAATCTAGTGAGACATTTAAGGCAGGAGGAGGTCATGCCGACATATTAGCAACAAACTGTCCTTATATGCATCTGGAGTTCAATTCTGATGAGGCAACTTTGAATGGAAACAACATGCTCTTTGCTTGAAGACGAACAACTGATTTAACGGAATAGTTTTAAAGCAGCCATAAAAATAAACACAGAAGGGAAAACACCAGGGTTACTGCTTTCACTGAGTGGTCCTGACACCTTGGCATAGTTGCCATAGGGGAAGAAAGCTGGGGTATTATGAGCTGTCAGATATCAGGTCAGGACCTATCAGGACAACAATAGTAACACTAGCAGCAGCAGCAGCCAGTGAGGTGACCCTATACCACGGCCCCTTGGGGCACATTAGTCAACACCCACATCTTCCTCTCATTGCTGAATGACCCACTTGGCCCAAAGACGATGTCACTTTGATTGGCTGGTTCGTCACACTGCAACTATTTTCCGTACATTTGGAAAACGACAAGCATTAGAGCGAGAGTGCTCCAGGACGGAGATTTCCGACTACTTGTGGGCCTATTTCCGGGCCGGGGGAAATAGATATGGCCTTGATGGCGACTTATGCCACTCTGCTGGAATGCCTAGGGGTCATGTAGGACTCAACTGCCACACACACACACACACACACACACACACACACACACACACAGACACACACACACACAGACACACACACCCAATGATAGCTGTGTTAAGCTCTTGGGGAAAGAAAAAAAAGGACAAGGACTGCCTGGGATGTTGACTTGTGACTCCATATCCAGCCACAAAAAGCAAGGAATGGAGAGAAGAGAAATTGGATAGTGTGGTGGAAAACAGCAAAGCCAATGTGTACCCGTAAACAAGCTCAGGGTGTAACTTCTATCACAATGCCAAATTTTTCCATCTGCCGACCATGAGAGAAAAAGCAAAGGGCTGAGGCAGAGTATTCCTAGCTGGAATGTTGATGGCCGTACGTTTCTGACTGAACAGCTGTTGGAGTCGGGCATAGTTTTTCCGCTGCAATGACAGTCGCAGGCAGGAGGAGCCTGTGTTTAGTCACACAAACACATGACACACATACAAAGCACAGTGGCAGTGGATGATTTGTGCATGCAAAACAACAATAAGGAAGAAGAGAGACAACTTAAAGCTGCTCTAATCAATATTACTATCACCAATGGATCCAATGATTGTATGTATGTAAAAGGGGTTTGAACCCACAGAGAATTATCAACGGTAGTGACTAGCTGGTGGATATTGTGGAGCTTTTAGCAGCTGAAGAGCCAGATATTTCACTCAGGAGTTGGGGGAAATCGTAACAAAATAAAAAGAGAGTAAACACAAAATCTATTATAGAATGATAACATGTTGATGTTGAAATTAAACTACGCAGTTTTAAACATTTAGATCTAGTGTTACTACTACTAGAGATCTTTGTTGAACTGCAATATTATTATAATATGTATGAAGAGATGGACAAGGGCCTAGAACATCATACACATGCAAAATACATATTGTGTAAACAGCATCGACGGACAAGAATAGCTGTCACAAGGTGAAACTAAACACCAGGGATATACTAAGGACATTACATGAAACTGCTGTATACTGCATAGCTACTCATCCAAAACATTTGAGACCCATCTTTGTCCCTTTGTTTGCAAAAGGGAGTTAGTTATTCAAAGGCGTATGAATCGCCGTAATGAGTTGACATTACTTTGTAATTAACCGCAGCATTACGCCATCATTTGTTGCATATTTCATCTGTATTCATACGATTCATTATGATCGAGAGTGAGGAGGTCCGTGACTTTCAGACAGCTAAAAGAAGAAGAAGGATGAGGTTGTCGTACAAATCAATAATTGCATTTCCAGAGATCCCCGTTTGGGCAAAAAACAAAGATGAGAAGTGGTGTGAACAGCACACATGAATCTCCCTGCTATAGATGAAAAGCATTAAAGGCAGAGTAACCACTCGAGGGGACCTCTGAATGCCACTCTGATCACACTGATGGCCAGCAACAGCGCATTAACACTAGGCACCATCTTTCATGTTTCCCATGGCTCATTCAGGGCTCAGACATATTGTGTAAACACGCCAGCTGTGATGATGTTCTTCCTACCTTCCATTGTATTGAGCCCCTGTGGGCCGTCTACCTGATGGCTGCAGCTGATGAATGAGAGGCTGCTTTCATTGTTGTCTTTGTAAATCTTGCTCTAATGACTAGGAGGGAGAAGTGGCCCTTGCTCAGTTTAGAGTAGCCATGAATAATCTTTTTTATCTCTTTCTATTCTTCCCTAAAGAAAGTAGAGCCATCGGGTAGGAACAAGGGCTGACAGCAGGGAGAAAAAATGCTTCATCGATGGCTCGGGTACCGTTTTTTCCTCTTCCACCTGTCATTAGATTTATCTACACATTCAATTTTCTTTATTTCCTTCTATTTTATCCTCACCCTTCCTCTATGTCCCTTCCTCTATGTCCCTTCCTCTATGTCCCTTCCTCTATGTCCCTTCCTCTATGTCCCTTCCTCTATGTCCCTTCCTCTATGTCCGTTCCTCTATGTCCCTGCCTAATGTCAACCTTTCCTTTTGTAAACACCTCTTTTCACTCTCTGCCACCAAACTTTGCAAAAAGTACCTCATTATGTTGCATCTGTTAAAGCCACATACAGTTCAGTCACTTTCAGCACTCCGTCCTCTGTATCATTAACTCTGGTTATTACTGGTGGTTGAGAGCTAACATTTTTATTCATTTTGTTTGTCAGAGGGAGACTGTCTGGATGAGCTGACCCAAGAAAAATATCATCCTGATGTTGGCCCGACTTCTTCCTTACTTTCAATCTCTTTGTGCAACTCATCCGTTTTCATTTCTGTCAAATATGAAGCTACAGCCAGCAGTTACCTTAGCTCAGCACAAAGAATGGAAACAGGGGTTGGTTATATTTCATATGTTTAATCTGATACAAAGACTGGAGAGTAAAAACTACAATTCACTGTTACTGCCTCAAGCCCAGAAATGGTCCCAGACATAACCCACCGTTAAATACGGAATCGTCCTTTTCACACAATAGTTTTTGGATGGATTTTACAAAAAGAATGTTAAGCGTGTGGTAGGTGCTGGTAGACAGATTTAGTCTTCATTTGGACTAGAGCTGCAACAATTAATCAATTAGATGTCAACTATTAAATTAATCGCCAGCTATTTTGATAATAGATTAATTAATTCTCTGATTCCAGATTCTTGATTCTTTACTCCTTTATGACAGTAAACTGAATATCTTTTAACGAGACATTTGAGGACGTCATCTTGGGCTTTTGGAAACACTGATCAACATTTTCCACCATTTTCTGAAATTTTATAGACCAAATAACTAATTGATTAATCAAGAAAATAATCAACAGATTAATCAACAATGAAACTAATCGTTAGTTGCAGCTCTACTTTGGACAGAGCAAGGCTAGCTGTTTCCCCGTTTCCTGTCTTTGTGCTAAGGGCAGTAGCCTCATCTTCAATGGCCAAATGTGAGAATAGTCCAAACCGGAGACGGCCACGAACACACTTCATTCACTGCACACAAGTATAAAACAAACATGAACATATCAAAGCACCCCTCTGTGCTTTTACTCTCAAAAAGCGAGTTCCGAAATGTCAAACTTTTACTTTAACAAGCAGATGAATGTAACAATATCACATGACGATATCAGTTCAAGGTAATGGCAGCAATGTCCTGGTTACATTTAAATGTAGTCCCCAACACATAGGAATTAATGAAACACATCCTGTTCTTTGGAAATGATTTAAGTATATAAGTATTTTCTACAGTGCATTAAAGAAACATGCTGGTTACAACTAAAACATGCAACCGAGTCGCCATGGCTTGATAGTCATGTATGAAAAGTAAAATAATATTTAAAGATGAAAGCACTGAACCAATTCTGTGATCAAACTGTGTCGCATACTGCCTCTCTGTTTTAACACAACAGCAGGTGGTGGGGAGCCGTTATTGTGCTGCAGCCAAGGAGTGTGTTAGTGTGAGTGTAAGATAAGACTCCTGACAGAATGCACACACACACGCACGCACACGCACGCACACACACCCACCCACCCACCCACACTTCTGCATATAAGACAATACTGGGCACAAACTGGGCACAACGCATACATGTAATTAAAATTCAACCAGAGACAGAGTAATTACTGCTTTAAGCGCTCTGTATTCTTGGATAAATGATTGTGCTCCTGTTCAGACAAATGGCTTCTGCAGTTCGATGTTCCCTTTAGGATTGTGTGTCGGGGGGGGGGCAACGGATCATAAAACCCACGGTTCGTCTTGTATCACGGTTTTCATTCACGGATCGAAAAAGTTCTAAATGTAATCCTTTTACTTTGTTATAGTCATCTATCGTTGTTGTTGACATAAAAACACAGAAAAGATTGTATTTTATTGCAAAAAAAATATTGGAATTAGCAGTTTTATTTACATATCATAAACTAGTGTTAAGAAGTTAAACATGTACTAATTTGTTCTCCAATATCTATTTTATATTAACATCTCCTTCAAACAACTGTATATATTCAAGTTTCTCTCCCAAAAACTACAAGATTACATTTGAACACACCGTGATAACGTCATAATTTACCTTCACCCAATACACATATTTAATGTACAGAGCTGAGCCAGTTTGCCCACTTTTATTGTTTGGCTATCAGCTAACGGAGCTACACACACAGCTGACTGCATCACCAGCGATCTGCAGCCAGAGACAGTTATTCCATGCCTTTTTACTGAGCATCAACCTCACGTTTACGCTGGTATTGTGGTAAAAAAAATAGACTTGAATAGACGACTGTGAGACGGAGCTGAGAAGCAAGCATACACAGATCCGGTGCAGACATCTGAATAGACGAAAATGAAAGTCTATCTATTG